TATAGATTTCAACCTACCAAAAACTAGATACATTAAAATATACGGTTTTTGCTAGATTGAAATCAATATATAATGTAAATAATATATACAAACAAAACTTTTAAGTAAAATATAGAGTATGTTCTAAATGAAGTATATGTTTGAGTCTGAGAATTAACTTCAAAAAATTTAAATAAAAAGTTAATAATTATCGATAAAATGTAACTAAATAAAGTTTAAAAGTTAAGAGTCTAAAATGTAGCTAAGTTAAGTTAAAGTTATTTAACTTTTCAACTTTTTAACTTAACTTTTAGCTTTTTAACTTGGCACTTTTTTTTTTTACGCAGTGGAAATGCTTTTACGCATTTCCGGCCCTTCGGGGGAAGGGACCGGGATATGCGGAACTCCTCCTATTTAACGGAGACTACCCACTAAAACCACTGCGGGTGTCCTGTCTGGAGCGCGTGTTGGGTCGGGCCGGGATCTTCCCGCTCGGTAGTACTACCGGCCCGATCCATCACTCATCGCGCGTATCACGCGCGCCTTGTAGCCCAATATTCGACGAAGGGGACACTACCTCCCTTCGCCGCCTTCCTCCTGCGTCCTTCTCACTGCAACGTCAGACCCCCGTCTGACGCCACGGGGCGCAGGCGGTCGCCGTGTTGCCAGCACTGAGCACAGACGTGCGGCGCCCGGCGGCCCGGCGACTCCCTCCCTGGCTCTGCCGAACCCATATGGCAGACGTGGGTAGCGCGCGTCTGCCCCCCAAAGCGTCGGCAGATGCGAGATGCCGTCATCAGGGTGGGGGTATACCGCTAATCGCGGCAGGGGACCCCCTCCCTGACCCTTTCGCTCGCCTCCTTCTCCTTCATCACGCCTTCCGCGAACACACGAAAAGCGTGGCTCCCCTCGTCGGTGAGCAGCGCCCCGACGATGTTCGTCATAGACAAATCATCTCCGATTGCCGCACGCAATGCAGCCCTCTGCTCGGACCACGCCGCGCAGTGCATCAGTGTGCGCAGAGGTATCCTGGCCGGCATCGCAATGTCAGCATTTCTCCGTCGTCTCCCTACCGATGCGACGCAGAAAACGGCCGAAACAGCCGTGACCGGTAAGGATCTGCGTCGCCCGGCAGGAGAGACCCGTCCTTGCCGACGTCCACTCTCCCAGGCGCGGCAGAATCGCGCGGACGACCGAGCTTCCGCCCCGTCCGGAGGAACTGATCCACTGCTCCCACTTGAGCATCATATCCCTCCTGTTCCTGTCCTTGATTTGCGCTACCAGGTCGGGGGTGATAGCGTTGTACCCGCGCCTTGCCTTAATCCGAGCGACGGTGGCGTACGTCTCGGCATATGATTCCACCAGTAGGAGAAGCGGCGGAGTCCCGGCCAGAGTTGTGGCCACGGCGTGGGAGACCGTCTTGTACGCCTTTATTATTCTCCCGGCTATTCTCCGTTGCGCGTTGTGTAGCGCGCTTTGGATGCGGCGATTTTTGGCCGCCTCTCCAGCCCATACGGGGGCGCTGTAGAGGGCTATCGAGGCCACGACCCCCGCGTACAGCCTGCGGGCCTTTCCGCCCGGCCCACCCAGGTTCGGCAGAAGCCTGGCCAGGGCGAGCGCCGCTTGGTCGGACTTCACCTCTCTGAAATGGTCCTCAAACGAGAGGCGCCTATCAAGCCGGAGCCCTAGGTATTTCATGCTCTGGCTGAGCTGCACGTCGGCGCCCGCGACTCTCA